CATTGTTTTTAAACTCAGGTTTTTCCTGTTTCTGTATTTTCAAGAGTGAACACATACTGCTTTGAAAATCCCTCAAAAAATTATTATAAAGAAAAGACTGAAGCCTATCCAACTGTTCTAGTCAGTGTTAGGCCCATGTATGGACCCACCAGTTTCTCACTGGAAAAGAACGTGGAGAGAATTAAACAAATGAGAAATTTAAGCTTTTAATTTTAACTGTGTATGAAAACGTCAGTCTGTTTTCTTACCATGAAACGTACAAGCAATTCCTAATTTATTCGGCACAGAAATATTTACAGCAAGTGGCTGTTTATGCTGCACGTGTACATCTTTGTACTCTAGATCAGGAGTCAGTAAACTCTGAAGGGCTAGCTAGTAAATATTTTAGGCTTTGCAGGCCACATGGTCTCTATCACAACTACTCAACTTTGCTGTTACAGCTTTCAAGCAGCCATAAATAATATGTAAACAAACTGACTTAGCTGTGTTCCAATAAAACTTTATTTACAAATAAAGGCAGTAGGTGGCATTTGGCTGAGATGCTGTAGTTGGAAAAACCCCGCTCAGGATCAGAAAAATATATAGATACAGATATTGCAGTTTTTCAACCTAATCCTTGTTTTAAGATTTCTATATTTTTACATAGATTCATGGAGGTAAAAATGTGAAATATATTTCTTTAAACAGTGGTTAATAAGTGTTCGTTTTGTTTCAGTATATCTGGTACTTTTATGTTGTAAAATAGAAGAAAATTGTATATGTAGTATTACTCAAGGAAAGTAAGAAAATATAAAGCTATACATTATTTTCTGCTCCATCATAAAGGCATGGAATTATATTGCTTTAGATATTTTTGTTTTTCTGTTCTGTGTATCTTTAAATCTTGTGCACGAATCTATTTGCCCTCTTTAGGTCTGGGTGATTCAGAATACACGTACTTTTGCAATGGGGGAAAAGTAATTGATAAACGACTTCAAGAGCTTGGAGCCCGACATTTCTATGACACTGGACATGCAGATGACTGTGTAGGGTAAGGGCAACGTACTTGTATTTTTCTTCCAGTAAACTGTGTTTATACATGATGAAAGTTAGTTTATAAAACTCACTAACATGTCGACTTTTGGTTTGGCACTGAAAGTTTCATCATATTTTAGTTCCGTTACGAGCTTTTTTAGCTTTAGAACCCAAGAGGGACAGCCAGGGCTTGATTTACCTATTTTGTTGATTTTTTTGTGTGTGTGCATGTGTGTCCCATCCTTCTCAGTATATGCTAATCAGAAGAGTTAGAACAGGTGCCCCCAGTATAGTAATCTTTATTTGTAAGTGTGTAGGTATTTGTAAAAATCAGCATTTTCTTTGGGAACTTTGAATGATAGTGGGTGTGTGCACTTCTCTCTGCATTGCACACAGGGGAGGCACTGGATTCGGCTCCTCACATGGAGGAAGCCCAGTAGGCCAGGTGTCTCTGATAGAGAACCCGCATCAGTGGGCCTTCACTGCAGACTGCATACATTGGTGCGCTCTCTCACCATCTTGATAGCCATTTGCCACCATGCCAATCAGAAGTGTACTTTCTCGTTTCATTACTTTTATTCTCGTTTTTACAATTCAGTGTTTCACCCTGTGCGTGACCTTCCAAATCATCCTGATATATTTATTCAGAGGTAAAAATATCATCCTATAACTTATTCTACCATTTAGCTTTTAACTCTTTTAGCCAGGTAACAGCACACACGTTTTTTTCTACTAGATACATGTATTAATTTTCATTCACTGTGTTAATGAATAATCTCTGTTTATGAAAAATGACAAATTCAGCAAATGTCTTGCTTTACCGCATATTATAGTACCACTTAGCTCACCCCTGTGTCTACTTCTTCCATCATTTTCTGCAGCTGCTATGCTGTGGATTTTTCCCCATCTCCCCAGTGCACATATTCTTCCTGATTGTGACAAAGCTCTGTGCCAGTTCCTTGCATGTTTACTTTTAGTTTTGTTCCTTTATAATGAGCTTTGTTTCCCCCAGAACCTCATTGAAAAGAAATGCTTAGTCTTGTATGAGCTATGTTCAATTGCTAATATAATGCTTATATAATCCATTAGGCTTAGCACTCATCCATATTTTGCTTCTCTTCAAAGGCTTTCTTTTTGTCTGTTTATTTTTTGGATAAAGTATTAAAATCCTTGAAAGAATATTTCAGCATCCTTCACCTCTTAGATTTTTCAATTTAAATACCTTAATTGAATATTTCCTTTTTCTAAAATTAAGTTATTATTATTTTCAAGAAGACATCCTTGCTTAATGTACTACCACACTTGAAGGAGTTACGAATGCAGCCTCAAGTCCAATACCTGGGTTCAAATCCTTGCTCCCCCACTTACTAACTGAAACCTTGGTCAAATCATTTAGGCTTTTGTGCTTTGGTTTTTGCTTTTATTAGATATATAATAGTAGTATTAAATGTGTATACTGTGTAAACTTCTTAGGAGGATCAAATGAATTAAAACATGTTATCTTCTTAGAACAATGCGTGTCATATAATACACACTCATTGAACATTAGCTCTCTTTATGACTGTAGATATTATCACCTTAATATTTCTGAGTTATGAAAATGATACTTTAGATGTAACTGTTATTATCAAACCCTTAATTTTATAAACTTGCTTTCACGAAGGCTCCTAAGGGTAGATGTATTACCACATTTTGAGCTGTATACTGCATGAGCACTTACTGAACACAGTGAAATTACGGCCTGGGTCCTAATGAGACAGGATCTGAAATGTGCCGCCTCTCGATAGTCATGTAGCTTTATGAATTAGAACTTAATTGATATCTTCTTTAAGTCATGAATAAAAATGAAAATGTTATTTCCAACAGCCTGACACAATCTTTCTTATCCATTAACTCTACTTAAACTTCTCAGTTCAGGGAATGTAGGGAATGTTATTGTTGTTACCATACCTTGTTAGTAAGTGGACTACTACATTTAAAAAGAGTATTTATCATTAATTCAACTTTCCTAAATGATGATTGCTTTTTTTCCCCCTGTAGTTGATCTCCCTGGAAATTTTATCAAAAAAAATTGTTCAGGGCTGATAGAAAGGTTTGAACTATTTATTTAGTCAAAAGACTTGGCATTAATCCAGTTCTCAAAGTAAACATTACCAACTCTAGGGAATTAAGAGGATCCTTTTTCATTTATTTGACCTTTATACATGCTTATAGTTTTTACAGCTAATGAGCACATAATAGTTCTGCTTTTTAAAACTTAATCATTGGTAAGTGTGTTTTGAATTCTGAATAGTCTTCATAATTAGTATTTCTAACATTTACATGTAGCACTCTGCCAAATGGATAGACTTTGCCGTTATCCCATTATTCTATGTTCAGATGGAGAACTTAGGCAGTTGTTTCTTCTTTTCTGTTACAACCCAGTTTAGAACTCGTGGTTGAGCCGTGGATTGCTGGACTCTGGGCTGCCCTCACAGAGCATTTTCGGTCAAGCAGAGGACAAGAGGAGATAAGTAGAGCTCTCCCAAGGGCATCCAATGCCGCCCTGAGGACAGACCCAGTGAAACCGGAGTTACTACACCTTGAATCACAAGTCGAGCTTCTGAGACTGGATGATTCAGGAAGAAAGGATTCTGAGGTTTTGCAACAAAATGCAGTGAACAGTGGTCAGTCAAGTGCTTTAATTGAAGATTTTGAAGCCTCACTTATCCGTTCAGTACCCCCACTCTCACAGGCCTCTCTAAATATTCCTGCTTTGCCGCCGGATTACTTGCAGGTGCATCTCCAGGAGTCTCTTGGCCAGGTGAGCAGTTTTACTTTATGCTTTGTGCTATGAGTGTTATTTAACCATAGAGGACTACTTTGGTTTATTTTTTATCATTATCACATGATATTAGAACAGAGTTTTAAAAAACTATGGCTTACTGGCCAAATGTGGCCTATCAAGGTATGTAAATTTTGTTGGAACACAGCTACCCCCGCTCATTCAGATAGTGTCTGTGACTGCTTTTGAGCTACAGTGGCAGAGTGAGTGGTTACCACAGAGGCATGCAAAGTCAGGCATTTGGCCCCTTCCAGAAAAATTTTGCCCACTCATGTAGTACAGAAGTGCTTATATTATCATATCACTTCTGTCTTTGAAGAAGTAAATGGTTAAGAGCTTAGTTTCTCCATTATTTTGGAGAACTAACTGCTTGGCTTCTCATTTTAGATGTGAGTCAAGCAAAGGTCACTTGTGTGGGCAGTGAGGAAACTATAATCAATAAAATCTTTTTTCTAATGTGAATTTTTGATATCCTGGATCGTTCCAATTGGTGACCATTCTTTTTATAGCTAATATCTTACAGACCTGTTTTTGTCTGTATTGTCTTTTTTTTTTGCCAAGAGTATTTTTTCCATCAATAAACAAATGACTTTAAAGGGGGGGTGTAAATTTTTGAGTATCAAGTTGAGTAATAGCTAATTTCTCCCCACTTCTGCCAGTATATGGTACCTTCAAATTTTTTCCCACATGCTTAAAATAGATTTCCAGGGCAGCCAATCTTTTAATGCAGGGCCAAGCTCTCTTTTTGGAGAGTGGCTGTTTGGAGTTCCATATAGATGTTCTTACGTAAATCACATCCTTAATGTAGCTATCACCATTTCTAGTTTCTTGTTTTCTTTTTCTTGGTAAAGTCAGACGTAAACATTTGAGAAACAATTTGAATGCAACATCTTTCCTAGTATATTAGCTCTATTTGCAAACACCAGATATGATAGCAAGTTTTTTTGGCATCTGATTTGTAAAGCATTCAGATATATATGTTTTGCTGTATAAAAAACTATGGATTATTGTTTTTGCACTTTTGCTTCATTATTTTGAGAATTGTTTAATTAATTGAGGTAATTACCATAAGTACATTTTCATCAGGTGTGGGAACGGACACACATGTGCACCGACATACTAGGGTGTAGGGCCCCCATCTGTGAGCTACAGGATTAGTATGTGGCAGAGGGGATAGAGAGGACTGATGAATCTGACAAGTTGCTTAAGTTAGGAGGATCTGTTAAGAGTTTCTTTTATAGCAAGTGTCATTAATAGGCTTGAGGTAATTGGTAATATAGATAAAAGACCTGAATTATTTAAGGGTGACAATATAAATCTGAAAGGATATACTGAGACAGTAAAGGATTGGAGAGGATTGTTTTGTAGGGTATGCTCTTGGGACCATTGCTTGGGGAGGGAGGGGATGGGAGCAGGATGTGGCACAGTGAGAAGTCGATGAGCTGCTGCGATGAATCGCATCAAAGGCCTCAGTCAGTCTCACTCCATATGGTGTCTTTCCCCCGTCTAGAAGTGTTTCCTCTAGTACCAGAAGGTCTCTGGATTGTGTGCTGCAGCAGCAGGACCTTTCAAGCACCAGCACTTGGACCTGCTGTAGAGCCTTCTGTCCTGGGCCCCACACAAAGCTGGCAGCCTTTTGTGTCACCTGATTTGGGTTGAAGCAGTCCTCCCTGGTGTGGAATGTGCTGCCCTCAGAACCTGAAGAGATCTATCAGGTGTTCTGCTTCTCTCTAGAAGAAGTGAAATACCAGATGTACTAGTGTGGCCTCTACTTGGGAGAGGATGTCCTGACATACACCAGACTGTTGGGACCCTAAAAACTGTGCTGACCCCTGCAGGCCCTTTAATCTGGATAGGGCATGGGTCTTAGACCAAAGACTCCACCAGTCTGGCCACTCATTGCTCATTCAGTCTGGTAGCACAATGTCACTGATAGAGTGGGTGAGTGTGGCATTTGCAGGACCCATTTATTCAGACTGTCTTATAACAGCAGAGTGGACCGTTATCATGGCCGTGGGGCAAAACTGTGAATGTGTACATTTTCTGTTCCAAATGAAAGTGAACTGAATCTGGTCCTCTTAGGGATGGAGATGGGAAACAGCACTTAGGCTGAATCATTGTCCACATACAGTGTGCTTGAGGCCATGTTAGTCCACTCTGTCAAAGAAAACCATCTTGTGTGGAGGCCAAATTGGATCTGTTGTTTGAGTTTCTGGTAGTTCAAGTCGTCCCCCAGGATCTGTCTGGTTTTTGCAGAAGCCAAATTTGTGAATTAAATGGAGGCAGAGACCATCTCCTTTGTCCTTTAGCTTTTTAAGAATGTTTTGACTTCTGCCGTTCCTCCCAGGATGCTCTATTGTTTTTCATATTTTATCTTGGTGCTCAGGAAGAAGGGTGGTGTCAAATTCAGAGGTTTCGTCTTGTCCTTCCCCACTATGATAGATCTTACCCCACAGGCCAGTAATCCAGTGTGGGGTTGTGGCAGCTACTGAGTGACCACTGGCGGCCCTGGGACCCAGTGGACCCACTGAGCCAGACCTGGGCTGAGACTCCATTTGCTGTCTGGCCCCAGATGCCTCCCTCTGGTAGGTGGGCCATGCCGCCACCTGGGGTCCCTGGGTAACAGCGTCAGTTTGGACCCTTTTAGACCCTGAAACGTTCGGGCATTCCCCTCAGCCCAGTGCAGGAGAAGGATGTTAGGACCGGTTACAAAGTGCAGTCTGTGGTGGTACAGAGTCCTCCTCCTGGGGACTGCTCTCTCCTGCAGTCACTGGGTCCCAGGTCTGGAAACTGGGCAAGGGATCTTGAGTTTTGATTGGAGCAGCTGCCTGCAGCTTCCTGGTCATGGCTGTTTGATTTCTTTTTGTTGCGTGGATTGACCCAGCATCTTTGTCAGCGGTTGCCCACTTAGTACATTTATGTGCCATCTTCCTCGCTCCACAACCTCAATGTTCTGTTGTGTGCATACTCTCCTGGCTCCTGCTCGTGCATATTGATCTTTTCTTGTACTTTTTTGGGGGGTAGTCCCTTACCTGCCTTAACTGGCCCAGCACTTTGCGGCCAGGTATGTTATGATTTCATCCTAGTTACTGGCCCAGCAGCCAGGACAGGGATGGGGCACAGGAGTGGGGGTATGGGCATGTCTTGTGGGCAGAGGTCCCTATATTACCTTAATCAAGAGGGAATTCTTGCTCTCAGTGTCTGCAGGCTGACAAGGTTCAAGGGAATCGGACTTGGGATTCAGGATTTTTCTCCTAGCTGTCAGGAGTCCATTCTTTCCCAATCACAGTCAGTCCTTGGCTTTCTCCACCTTCGGGGTCAGGGGCTGCATGAGATGACTGCTTCTCTCTAAGCTCCTGAGGATGTCCTCTGGCTTTTGTACTTAGTTTTTAATTTTGCTCTTCAAGTGTGAATGAAGCTTAGCAGTAACCCCCCGCCACCACCACCAACCCATCCCACTGGTCTTCTCAGAAACATAGTTCTCAAGCACCTGATGCATCTCACAGGCTAATGCATTCCCTTCCACTGCATCCCATCCCTGTCACTTGCATTGCTGCTGTGTGCTGGGGCTGTCTGTCCTCTGTCTCACTATTGTGGTGTTATTGTCAGGCAGGCAGGTGATCCAGTTCCAAACCCCAGTTTAGTATGTTTCCCAGACTACTCTGGCACTGACTCTCACAGGCTGGGGTGCCAGAAATCACGTTGTGAGATGTTTTTTAGGGCATCCTTTTGGGATCATCACCTCAGGGAACACTAGCAAGGGAAGCAGGATGGGGCACAGTGAGATGCTGAGAGGCAGTGCAGTCTCAGCAAAGCCTCAGCCAATCCCATGGGGTTCTCTGGAGCTGGTGGCTCTTTAAGCATTGGAAAGAAATGCCCCTTTAAGCTGGGAAAAGGGGCTGGGCCTTTATGGTCACTAATTAGTCATTGGGTGTGGGCTGCCTTTGAAAGGAGGCATGGCCAGTGGCAAGACGTGGCTTGAGAATGCCAGGTGATTCTCACAGGTGTCAGAGCTCACGGCAACCTTTGCTGAAGGCAGTCTTCCTGGCACATGATTCCCAGGCACCCAGTCTGAATCCCTCCTCCCGGCTTTCCTGTAAAACCACCTGTCCAAAATTAATTGACTGGCAATTGTTAGAATGCTCTTTTCTATTTTTAAACTTAGGAATATCAAGTGAGAAAAGGAATAGGGGATGGTACAAAGAATTGGGTTTCTTTGCAGTTTTCCAAGACCTGTACTATCTAGTAGGGGAACCACTAGCCACTTGTAGCTACTTAAATTTAAATTGATGAACATTGGTTAAAATTAAGAATTCAATTCCTTAGTCACACTAGCCGTGTTTCGAGTGCTCAGCAGCCATATGAGCAGCATTGCCCAACACCAGGGGATTCCTACGCCCATATACCCAGACATGTTCGAACCCTAAACATCTGTGATTTCCTTTAGGGTCTCCTTCCTGAAATGTTTGCATGCATGCTGTTTCCTATTACATAGTTTATTAGCGAGACCACTAGACCTTTACTGGAAAATGCTAGTATTTGATATTTTCTATGTATATTTCAAAAATTCTAGTGTCTAGCAGACAAGGAGTTTGAAATAGAGATGAGCTTTTCTTCTGAAAAGTGAGCTCCATATGTCTGTACTCATTTACCTTAGAAATGAATACTAAAGTAGCCAGGAAGTTTTGTAAGACCCTGCAGATCTACATAGTCACTAAATGAAGGAATGGTATAATTAAAATTGCATTTAGTTATATTTTGTCCCATTTGTTTCTCAAGGAGAAAAGCCAAGCATCTGTGACTTCAGTGGATCCAATTTTTCAAGTTCCGATCTCAAAGGCAGTTCAACTTACT